GAGGCGTGCGAGGCCTACCTGGTGGGGCTCTTTGAGGACACGAATCTATGCGCCATCCACGCCAAGCGTGTCACCATCATGCCCAAGGACATCCAGCTGGCCCGCCGCATCCGTGGCGAGAGGGCATAAACCAAGGTAGTTAATTGCCTCTATGTTGAAAAAGGCTCTTTTCAGAGCCACCTACTTTGTCAACAAAAGGTGTTGTAATGCATTAACTCATTTTACCCACTTTGGTGAAAAACGACTATTTTTCAGAAAAAAATCTTTTAAATCAGAATTGTAAGTACGCACTTGGTCTTTTTCCAGCATGGAATCTTATCTGTAAATCAAGTGTAATATTTTCCTTAATTTTAGGATGTCACTTCACATCTCACTGTCCAAAGATGCCTTTCAAACTGGAAAGTTGTATTTATGGAACAGCTCCTAAGTATTTTTGATCAAAAGAAAGGGTGCCAGTTGCTGGTGAAGGAACTTGCACCTAATATGCAGCTTTATTTCCTTACATTGTGTAAGAACGGGGTCTTTAAACAGAAAAATCACGACGTTTATGATTAATTTTATTAACAATGTTTCTGGTGAAAGTGTACACACACAGCAAATTAGGTTCCCATTTCACAATTTCTGTGCATATTGTTCAGTGACATTGGTTACGTCTTCGCTAAGAAGCACTGTACCCCTGGGTGATATTTTTTATGAGCTAATCTATTACTTGGCTGAAAAGTGACCTCTGGGAGTGGCTCTTCAGTTCAACGTTTAAAGGGTATCTCAGGGCAATAGTCTCAAGGTTTCCTCTAGTCCATTAACTCTGGCCTTTTTTAGGAATTTGAGTTTTGTTCTGCATTTTTCTCCCATTCTATAGGGGAGCATCTACTGTGTCCCTGGTCAGAACTGTCTGCAGTGGTAGCTGGGCACCATCTAGTTCTGGTCTCAGGTTAGAAGAGGCTGTGGTTCACGTGGGCTGTTAGTCCTGTAGACTAGTTTCTTGCTTAAGTCTTTGGTTTCCGTCTTTCTCTTTCGCTCCAAATGAGCACAGACCAATAGTTGTATATTTTATGGTTGCTTACAAGCTTTTAGGACCCCCGACGCTACTCACCAAACTAGGATGTAGAACATTATCTTTATGAATTGTTATGCCAATTAACCGAGTTGTCCCAGGAGACTATGGTCTTCAAACCCTGTAAACCAATACTTTGAGGTGTTTGGTTATGTCTAGGAAGTACCCATAACTGTGCCCCCTATGCACTTTATTACATATATCAATATATAATCAGCACACACAAATATGTATATACATATGCCTACAGATACACCTATGCATCACAGCCATACACTCACATGTGCCTTCCCATACACGTATATACCTACATATCTACCTATTTAACCACATGCATATTTTTTGGTTGTTATTACAATTAAATGTTGAAGTCTAGAGTCAAGCCTAAGGACACCAAATGAGATTAATAGTTTTACAATAAGCATTCACTCCACTGGATGAGACTTAATAGCCAAAAAACAGACCAGATTTTTTTTCAGACAGAGAAATTGGACTTCATCTCACGTACTGTGGACATGTTATCAGGAGGGACCAGTCCCTGGAGAAGGACATCATGCCTTTTTGGTAAAGTAGAGGGTCAATGAAAAAGAGGAAGACCCTCAATAAGATGGATTGACAGTGGCTGCAACAATGGGCTCTAGCATAGCAACAATTATGAGGACGGCGCAGGACCGGGCAGTGTTTCGTTCTGTTGTACATAAGGTTGCTATGAGTTGGAACCAACTTGACAGCACGTAACAACAACCTACCTAGCTTCCAAGAATAATAAATCACTTTCTACTCTTGTTTTGTTATTGTTTATAAAATGCCTGTATGCTTCCACAATGTTTTTGTCTTTTTTTTTTTTACCCATCAAAATGTAAGTTCTACTGTACAGAAGTTTACCTTTGTGGGCACTAATTGCTTTAAGACTGTTTTGGATTTTCCCCCTAAAAAAAAAAAAAAGGGACTTTGGGACAAAATATTAGCATAGAATTTGAGGTTGTCTTCATCTCCTGATTGACCTGACATTGAAGAATTTCAACTCCAATAATTTTTTTATTTATCCATCTTTTCCTATCTTGTTAAGTAAAATGATTTATTTGACAAGGCTCTCCTACTTGTCTAACATGATTTTTTTATTTTTTACGGTGCTTCATTCTGGCTTAAGTCCAGTCTCTATACCTGGGTTTCTTAGAAATACACTGAATATCCACTTTATTCCAAAGCCCATGCTATCAAAGTTTGGAAAGAAATTTTTAAATGTAGAAAGGGTGAAAGCAGAATCCTGAAGCTGTGCTGTGTTAATATTGAATTTTAGCTGAACTCTGCTAAATTGGAAAACAGCACTGGCTAAAGAAATCTCCCCACCTTTCATCTTCAGGAAAATGGCTTGCTGGAAATAATCACCCTTCCCCATCCGACTGACATGAAACTCATGAATGGCCCCTTGTTTACCTATGACAAGGCAGACACAGACCCTCCAAATACCCATTTCTTGCCTCATAAATGAGTAACTGAATTCCTTGTCCCTACTGATCAATCAGAAATAAAGTACTTGTTAACTAAACTTTGGTTAAGCTTCTTTCCTTCCCCCTAGGCCCTGAACTTCAGCCCACCCTCAGCCTGAGCCAACACATTATCTCTCTTTAAGGAGCCCCTCCCTGAAAATAGAGTGACAGTGTAAAACATTCTGGTTTACTGATGAGGTCAACCACTCATCACACTTCCTCACACCCAGGTTTTTTTGTATCCTTACTTACTCTCAGTCTCTATTTAAAAAAAAAAAAAAAAAGTTTTCCCCTCTTTAAGATGCTTCCAGATCTTATGACCAAAGTGTTCTCCCCACTTTTGTTGTCCCCCTCTGTCACTATTACAAAAATTCTTATCCCTTTTCCCCATTTTCTTTCCAAATAAAGCCTCTCCTTATCAAACTCTACATGTGGTTTTTATTTGACAGCTGCCTATAGAAAACAATGCAAGCAGCATATGTGAAATTTTTTAGTAACCATATGGCTAGTAAAAAGGCAGCTGTAATGATTTTAATAATGTATTAAACACCAAAATATCTAAAATATTACCATTTCCACATATCATCAATATAGAAACATATTTAATGCAATATTTTACATTCCTTTTTTCATACTAAGTCTTTGAAATTAGGAGTATATTTTATTCAGTTTGGTGCTAATTTTTTATTGAAATACTTGATCTGTATGTATGTTCCATAAACTCTACAGTTGAAAAAATAAATTCATATGCCCAAATTGTGCAAACTTAACTAAAAGCTTTTAGATTTAAATTAATTAAAATTACACAAAAATAAAAATCCAGTTCCTCAGCAGCACCAGCCATATTTCAAATGATCAACAGCAACACGTGGCTCTTGACTACCATATTAGACGATGCAGTCCTAAGGGGGATATTGTTGTTGGGGTGATGGAGATTGCTGGGTAAATTGGAGTGCGGTTGTTAGTTGCCACCGAGCCTCATGGCAACACCATGTGTGCAGAGTAGAACTGCTCCGTAGGGTTTCCAAGGCTGTAATCTTTATGGAAATTGTGAGAGCCCCCAAACTGAGGCACTTGATTCTAATAAAATGGCGGGCCTAAGTCTGAGACCACACTCCATTTTAACTTCTGCTAACTGTTATTTACCTTTGAACAGATTTCAGGACTGTAAGTAGGCATGAAACTGATTTAGAAAATAATATTGGAATCATTATTCCCTGTCCTTGAGCATAAAGAATGTGACCCAGCTAGAGCTGGGCTCACAAGGGCTCACAAGGACTCGCAAGGACACATCAACTGAGCCCTGTGGTGTAAGGACAATAGCTAGGACAATCCTGGAAAATATCTTTTTTAGGGAACCTTTCACATAAGCCAATCAAACAGAACATAAAAGACTTTCCACTCTTATCTTTTTCTCTTAGCATTTAGTAAATAGAAAATTTGTTGGACCAGTGAGGACCCTCCTGACTGTCATTACTGAAACCTGTACCAGTGATTGTTAAGAAAGAATTCAAAATGTAGGATCACAGTTTCTAGCCAATCTATGAAAAGGTGAAGCTTTCAATGGTTTTGTACATTTGCAATGTTAATATATACAGATGACTGTGTAATGTTCCTTGGACTCAGACAGACATGGCTGTGGCAGCATGCTTGTCTGTTTTTCCACTTTTGTCTTTTCTGTAATTTCCATGGACTGGGGCAGCCATGGCTCTGGCAGCATGGTTGCCCATTTCCCACTTTTGCCCTTTTGAATATCTGCTGAATAAAACTTTCTTTTTGCTTAAGTAAACTTTGTGATTTTTTTTTTTTCCCTACACCATAACTAAGGAAATGTTTTTCTCTGCAGATAAGCAAAGGATGTGAGAAGAATATTTCCAAAGGGGGTCTTAATGAAAATGGCTTATCAGAAATCTGCTGCATAAGCAGCCCTTAGGAAACATCTTACTCAAGAAGCTATTTTAACAGAATATTCTCAGAAAGAATGTCCTGTGATTATCTTATGCCAATCCTGCATAACCTCCTTTTTCACATATTTCTGCAATTTAAGCAAATGACCTATCTAGATAACTCACATATGCACTTTTTACCAATCCCCTTCCATTCCCACGCTTTAAGACGTCCTGCCTCCCACTTCTCTAAAATTGTTAAGCACCAGTCAGAAATGTTGTAAGTTCCTGATATCCCAATATAAACGTACCTGCTCACCTTCAGTTCTTCCAAGCATTTGTTTTCCCTCTGTGGTCTCAGCCTGTCCCAGGTTCTAACTGTCTCTCTCTCAGCCTCCTTATTTTAACAGAGTAGGCGTTCTTGCCCTTTGACCAAACCGATTGCCACATCTTTGTCCCGCCCAGCGAGTGGAAGATTCGAACCGTTGACCTTCAGGTTATCAGCAGAGCTCTTAACTACTGCGCACCAGGGAAACTTGTGTGCCACCCAGGGACTCCTACATTGGAATAGATAGATTTCAATGTAATCATGTAAATTTAGTACTGACTTCTAAAACCAAAGCACTGACTTTCAAAAATTGAGAGGGTCATTGGGAGGGAGAGTCTGAGAGGCACGGAAATGGGATTTCCTCAGGTAATTA